ATATTCGTATTGTATTTTTCAATTTGCAATCAACAAAATTTTTAGCGTGTAATTTATGAATATCAAAATCTTTATATATATAACAATGGGATCGTCTGTCCCTAAACTGTTCCCGCTTGAAATAAAACTTAACATTCACGTGGCTTAATTTCTAGGAAAATTCTAGATAAAATTGAGAATGAATTACATTTCCAGGAGTTGCACATTAACTAGCTCGGTACACGTGTTCATATGGATAACACAACAGACGATCACGTAATTTTAACTTCTGTGACGGTTCCCACTTCCCACCCACAACTTACAAGTCAAACCACTTCCCACCCACGTAATATAGGTTACTTCAACATACTTCATGTTTCGTTCTCATTCCAATTATTAGGCTACACCCGTTTCAGACTTTCAGTTCTATATGCAAATTATTACTCCGTATTGGTTAATTGTTGTTGCCTTATATGATACGAGTTCATTTTCTTTTAGTGTTGGTTCTACATCTCCTGCTAGACAATCTTTGAGCTCAGCACATCAAAAACAAATTGGGCAGTAAGAGTGGGACCAATAACTAAGCCGATACAACTGGACATCCATCTTCATCGTGGATAACACATCGGAGAGACATCGAAGTTCATAGGAGAGATCATTTTAGTTGTTTTTCTCTGGACAAGAAAGGGGAGAGAGGTGTTGGTCTTACGGTTAACTCAGGAAAGAGGAAGACAAAGAGGTGGATCTAGAGACCTTCGATCTCTAGAAACTTCGCTCGGAATCTGCATCTAGGAAGACAGAGAGGTGATATCATAGTATCATATGAGAGTATATATCCCATTTGTTTATTAATTACTCTGTAGTTGGTAATACGTTTTTTATAGTCTTTGAAGTTAAGTGTACTCGGTAATACTTTTAATTGAGATGATTTTTGACCCTATATTTTATTTTGAGAATGTGAGACCCACAATATAATTAGACTATTAGTTCCAATATTTTATGATGAATTAATATTAATATTAACGGCTGCATTAGTGTTAGATGTAAAAAAGTGAGATTGTAAGGTCCACTTTCAAAAAATTAAGATCAAACAAAACTAATACGGAGTATTTAATACTAATAATGAATGCAAAAAATGAATATAAAAAATGAATATAAAAATGTGTATGTGTGTGAGTGTGTGAGAGATAGAGAGATTGCCCTAAAAGGGAAAGTTCCCGAAATAGGACTAAAACAGTTTGAAAATTCTAAAATATGTCTGTCATGTTTTTATTCCCAAAATAGGAGTAATTACTGCTAAGTTTAGAAAATATTGTCATGTTTGAAGTCTGATACTGCCAAAACATGGCAGTAATATGTCCTATTTTGGGAATAAAAATATGGCAGTCCTATTTTGGAATTTTCAAACTTTTTAGTTCTATTTTGGATAATATTCTAGATTTTCTAATTCTTATTTTAGAGACTTTCCCAAATATACTTTGACACGGGATTTGGGTGTTGTAATATGGTTTGAACTTGATATGTACGCTCCACATTTTAAAAGACTATTAATATATTACACTGAATATTTTCATGTTGTTGTGTCAAAAGTCATGTGCCACGAATTAAAAAAAGTAATAAATGCAATGATGTGAAATGAATTTGTTCTCCAAAAGGTTGTATATTTAAAGTTTTTCAGAATGAGTAATCATTTACTACATATAAAATAGTAACTTTGATTTAGTAGTTTTATTTATCATACTATCTCAGACATCATATGTGAAATCTATTCTGTGTTAAAAATTTAATTTGTAAAATATCATACATAAATAATAAAAAATTTGTTCCATGCATTGCACGGGTTATATACTAGTTTTAATTAATTAGATCAATGTACACGGAGTATATGTTACTACGTATTATGGAAGAGTCAATTTTATCATCGATGTAATAATAATAGTTATTGTAATAATAAAGATGTTTTAATTAGATTTATTTAGATTTCAGATCACACTAAATTTAGACAATACTAGTAGTAAAATACATATACAAAAGATGTTTACCGAATCATTTTTAAATAGATTAAGAGCTCATTTGATGACACTGAAATTGGCTGATTCGATTGAATATGGTGAAATTAATGAAGTTTTGGCTGAAGCATATGAATTGATTGAGTCTATTGGATTATGAAAATATTATATTTAAAATGTATTTTATTAATTAATACTTAATAATATAAAGGGAAAAATATGAAAAATAGCTAAAATGGTCCTTTTCAGTAACTCAATCAAAATTGTCTTTTTGATTTTTCTCACTAAGATTGTCCTATACCAAAATTAATAATATTTGTGTGGTTCTAAATCATTTTTGATTCATCCTAATCCTATCAATTTGGTATCAATCACATAAATCTTTTTTTTATTAATAACCGTGTCACCTCCATGTTAGTGGAATGGGGGGGGGGGGGGGTAGTATTATACAATCCACCGCGTAAAATTGAAAATTACTTGTTTGTTAAAAAATGATTAATAAGTCTGATAGGTCCAAAAGCGGAGTCAACAAGTGCTCCCTAAGAGTCTATTGACATCACTGAAACTGGCTGAATTGACTGAATTTACTTAGTTTGATGAAGTTCTGATTGAAGTGGCTAAATTTGCTTAATCATGAAAAAATTATATTTAAAATATATTTTATTAATGGGATAAAGAAAAAATTATATGACAAATAACTAAAATGATCCGCTGCACTAACTTTAGCCAATTCAGCCGGAAAATAACTTTTGGACAAAAGATATCTTAATTCATATTAAAAAACAAGAATCTGATACACAATCGTCATATCAAAGGCTACACTAGAATGAAACTAGATTTGTAGTCACGCATAAGAGCAGCCCAACTTGCTAATCTCGCAATGTGGTGGTCTCCACTAACAGCAATGCTGCACCTGCTACTAGAGCGAAAATTAAAATAAAAGTACCAATATAATTCAAGCATCCCGATTTCACCAGCTACCAGGAAGGGAGCCAAAGTTTGTCCATCCACCTTTAAAGAAGGCATCCTGATTTTACCTGCCATTGGAAAGGGAGAATATGTTTGACCAACCAGCTCCAAAGGAATCATCTCGTGTACGAGACCTGTCAGTATTTTAGGAGGTGTTGTTCCGGGAGCACCGTTGTCTTGTCAGTTTTTTTGTTCCCTCGCCATTAACCTCCTCGAATGACCTTTCATGAGTCTAATTTAAACTCTCCATTAATGGCCAACAAAACAATTGCTGGATCCGAGACAGAGAATAGAAGCAACGAGACTCACAATCAAAAGCCCAAAAATGTTCACAATTGGAATGGACCAAACCCTCGGCCAGAGAAAACTCAGCCGAACGAACAACTCTTGGCTAGAGCAGAACTCAGCTGGACAAAACAACACAGAAAAGAAAACCTAACATATAGCAGAATGACTGAAACACATCTAAACTACGAATGACCTTTCATGAGTCTAATTTAAACTCTCCATTAATGGCCAACAAAACAATTGCTGGATCCGAGACAGAGAATAGAAGCAACGAGACTCACAATCAAAAGCCCAAAAATGTTCACAATTGGAATGGACCAAACCCTCGGCCAGAGAAAACTCAGCCGAACGAACAACTCTTGGCTAGAGCAGAACTCAGCTGGACAAAACAACACAGAAAAGAAAACCTAACATATAGCAGAATGACTGAAACACATCTAAACTACAAGTGAGCCGCACACACCCCAAATCTCATCTACTTAGTCATTGCTGAGTTAGAACAAAAAGAGCAACTTGATTGCCGCATTCTTCTAGCCAGATGGGATCACCGCGCTCCTAGGGTTCGTTCGCCTCCATCACGATTCGCGAGACAACAAATAGAACATATTACGGAGTATGTAGTATCGGAATCACCTTACACTGTTAGTATTTCACAACATGTTATCCACTCACCAAGTCACCAACTATTCAAAATTCTCCAACAAACAGCCAAAAATATTTTTATCCTTACTTATTTTGATTATTATACATTTCAACACGTGAAATCAAAACTTATGTGTTTGGCGATAAGGCTGATAAGTCGAAAATAAGGGTCCACCAAACGGGCTCTAAATCATATCGAACCAAATTTAAAGAGATCCGAATAGAAGGTTTCAATGACATTAAGGTTATAAAGATCCACTAATATTATTCCTCAAAAAAATATGAATAAAAATGTGACTTAATAATAAGTTCAAAATTTACATCATAGAGATTAATTCACTATGCTGTAAACTTTGATATACTCACTTAAAGTTGCTAAGTCATATTTTATTTTTATCCATGTTTTTTTATTAGTAGTTACAAGCATAACGGTAATTTATATCAAGTTCATCAATAATGCAATACTTTGAAGCTATTTTATGTTTGAAATCTTATCTGCTTTCATAATTTCAAACATAAAACAACTCCCGTTTCCTAATGACATTACAAAGTTACAAACCACTGCTCATGTTCCGATCCATTTCTCTTATTTTGAAATGATTTGACACAATTAGACAATTAGTCTTGATGGTAAAATAAAGTACCATTCGTCTCTTACAGTAACGGTAGCCTTTGGTTGACACATATCTGGTGGGCATTGCTAATATAACTTATCTATACGTTATTAGTTCTAAATTTATTTAACTGTGTTATAATGATTATAAATTATAAAGACATACTTTTGTTTATAACAATTTCCAACAACCACATCCGGTGCCAAGTGTATTTAGTTGTACAAATATTTTGTTGACTTGTTATTTTAAATAGAGTTCTTGATTCAATGGAAACCTAATCCTGTTATCATTTACGGAGTATTAATCAATTTAAGCAAAACAAAAAATGATACTCCCTCTGAAACAAGTTACACCTTTCCTTTTCGGGCAAATTCAAAATTAAGTTCCACTTTCAAACATTTCCTTATTTGGCAAATTATCTACATCAAAACAGTGTCAAACAGTGTTCAAACAGTGCCAACTAGTGTTCAAACAGTGCCAAATAGTGCACTCCACGGTAAAATCAAATTTATTTTCTTAATATGTGTGAAGTCAAATGTGGAACTTGTTTCAGAAACGGAGGGAGTATATGGCTCTCTGAAAACGCTGCGAAAGTGATAGTTGTAATCTCCATTAAAAAATCACCGAAAAAAAGTAGTTTCCATAGTACTGCGATTGAATACTATCTAAAATTTTGGTTCAGATCAAGCACATGTATTACATACAGAAACATCCGGAGACACTTCAAAATATAGGAATATACGGTTCTAAAGGAAAAGGAGTGAAACTGCATTACCAAATTCAAAACCCTACTGACTTGAGAGCTATGGAAGCCTCAACTCGGGAGCGGGTCAATACTCACTTGAAGCACTTTGCATCCAGAAGAGCCTCTCCTTCAAAAGGCTCCTGATCTTCAATCATCTGGTTGACCCGCTCTTTCTGAGCTTCATCATTGATGTCAACCTCCTTCCACTCATACAGTTCCATGTCATACACTTCATCCATTAGAAACTTAGGAACTTCTTTGCCTCGAAAGAGCCACAGCCCCTTGACTTTGAATGGGGGCTGCGAACCAATCACCAACATCTTACCAAAAGCATACTTCCGTGCTAAATCCATCCTCTGAAGGAAACCGCCAACTTTATTCAAAGTTACAAAAGAGACTGTATTCTCATCATTGTATTTGTAATCGCAGAACCAAAGAGAGTATCCCTCAGGATCATACATGTCCCAAAAACCTGGATATTATCAATTTAGTAGAACAAGCAAAGGTAAGTTGAAGAAAAATGGCATGATAAAAAAATGGAACGGGATAACTTGCAAATAAAAGGCCAATGCACCTTTAATGGCAACCTCACGGAAGTTTGTTTTAGTATTAGAGTAGAGCCTCTTCCAGTCATCCAAAACCATTTTGCTTGGAGGCAAAAGATCAAGAGGGTTCTTTGGCTTTGGCTTGGGTGCCTCTTCTTCCACCCCTTCTTCCTTAGGTTTTGCTTCTTCTTTCTTCGGTTCTTCTTTTGGTTTTGCAGACTCCTTAGCCTGTGCAGCGGGCTTCTTTGATGGCGGAGGTGGAACAGATTCTGCTTGTTTAATCTCACCCAAGATTTTGGAAAAATTTGGCTGGTTAACCATAGTCCAGAAATATCTCTCCACATGAGGGAAGTCCTTAGTGAAGGACTTTGTCATGATCAGCTTAAATCCAACACTAAGGTTGCAGGTCATAACAATGTCAGCTAATGTGATAGAATGCCCAACTAAGTAAGTGTTAGATGCAAGATGGGTGTTTAAGGCTTCAAGGGCTCTCTTCAATGCAGCTACTGCAATCTCCTCAGCCTACATGGACAAACAAACATAACTTATTAAGCAGAAAAATGCAAGTTGAATGCAGAGGAGCAAGATTTCATACCGGTGGCAAATGTACACCAAATCCAAGTCGGGGGTACAACCATCGACCTGTGTTTGCATCGATCTCAGTTGCCGAAAAGTCATTCCACTGCTCAACATGGGCCTATCACACAAATGATCAACATCATGAAAAAACTTGTCTAAAGATAGTCCATGTAGTGAGGTGAAAAATTTTGGTATTATATAATTGCTATAACTCGTTAATCAAGCCTAATGATGAGACAGGCCCAATCATTACATTATGCTGCAATTTTGGCAATCCTAACTGTCAAATTTAAGGCTTCAAAGTTTTAAGCAATCCTTCATTGCATTGCAATTTCGACATTTCTTTAAAATCAGTAAATAAGATGCAAGTTTCGCTGTTAACATTGTTTTTAGGAAATTTAGAACCTTAGTGCAAATTGGGTACCTTGCACTTTTTTGTGTTGTCAGTTCTAATGAACAGATTTTTAGCCAACACTAACTACTTGTTTGACTGCATTTGCAACATATGAAGATTAATGACCTTTCTGGCACAAACTTTAAGGTGTTTTGTTTTATTAAAAAAGCACATTCAAAAATTAATTTTTTGATAAATCAATCTAGTAACCTTTCAACCCTTTTAGTGAAAAACTGAAAATTACATCAAATTCAACACATTGAGCCATTGTGGTGAATTTTACCTCTGCCAAACCTGCTCTTAACAAATGAATGAAAATTACTTAAATTCAAAATATGTTTAACTGATGTTGTTACTTTGGCTGAGTTGGCAGTGGGGCGAATTTGTAAACTTCCAACATGCCTCGCAAGTATTGTCTAATGTCATTTAATTTTCACATTTTGACATGCTTTGAGATTTGGCCATTACCATAAGGTAAATCTATAAAGGTATCATTCATGAATGACGAAAAGTGGATCCAATATTTAAAAAACATGGCTATATTGACAATTTTAAAGAGTTGGCCAAAGCACGACAAATCACAACTGATTAAAATTTAATTATTAGGCTTGTTAATTAATTACGCATATATAAAATCTATTTAATGATTTAAGTAAATATATCCTTTTCAAATTGTCTAAAACATTTTTGGTGAAATATGTGAGTTCTTTCAAATGATAAAACACATTACATTAAATTTAGAGTTAGCAAAAGCACAACAAAATCTTCTGTAAGGCATGCTAAATATACTAGGAATTTTAGAATTCCAATTGATGATTTAACTACATTTTTTCATAATTGACTTATTTGTACTTCTTAAGATAAATTACATGGAAAATGTAATTGAATTGATCACACAAAACTCTTCTATTGGAACGGAGACAGTATTGAATTACATTAAACAAAAACACTTACATAATCAATCAATGAAGATCCAAAGAGGTGATTGTCAGGCTTCAACTTAGCAACTATAAGAATTGATGACAGAACTTCAGAACATAAAGTCAACAGTCAAAGGGATATTAGATACAGAAACTAAGGAACAGCAACTCACCGTAGCGTGCAATGGCATTGCTTTCAAATACCGTACCATCAGGCGTTTCAAGCACAGGAACCTTTATAAGTTTTAAAAAAAGGAAAAGACAAAATCATTAACATAACATCAAAAAATCTCATCAATGTGATATTCCTGAATTCTAGACATGCTACCTTCCCGATGGGATTCATCTCAAGAAACTCAGGAGTCTTGTTTGATACACCCATCTGGAAGTCTTTCACCAGTTCTACTTTTACACCAGTATACTCTGCAGCAATAAGTGCTTTGAATGCATTCTTGTTTGTAGCCGATGAATGCAGTGTCTACAAAATAGAATCAAGAAGTTATCAGCAGAACGGAATGGTTACACTTAACATGTGTAAGAATACAGTAATACATATCTCAAAATTCTGTAACATTGGTTTCCGTTTGAATCAAATTAACTTCATGAAAGGTTCTATTTTTAACAACAAAGCAGATGAGCTGGGCTCTGTGTATCTCTTAATCGTCAAATATAGTTCACTTAGGCTGATATACTTGACATAAACTGAACGCTGAAAGAGATTGAACATCACATGATTTATAGCTACATATCAACGCGCGGAAATAGATTGGACCAAAAAAATTAAGCAATAATCGGAAAAGTAATCGGGTCAGCGGGGCATTTGCAGCCATATGCAAGATATAGCAAAAGACTGGAACTTTGAATGAAAGAATCTATTTAGAGAATGAGCTAGCAGGTCACGCGTAAATCTGCCTAAATAACAATATCCCAGCACAAAAACGAAGAAATAGACTACTCACCAAAGCCATGGCTTCAAACACTGTGTAACAGAAAGTCAGGTAAAGTGAATTCTAAGAGAGGAGAGGCCGCCGCTGTTACAGAAGGTAGAGAAAGCCCTCCGCTGTTCCAAGGAGTGAGAACTTAGGGTTAGCTAGACTAGATACGTCTACCGAGGGAGTGAGGGACGAAAAATATGTCTCAAATACTAACTCCTTCCCATCAAACTTTGGCAAACTGGACGATCATGGAATAATAAAGTAAAACCTAGGTGGTTAAAGTTTGTGCAGAGGAGAGAGAAATAATAGAAACCACAAAATAATTGATTAAAAAGGAAAGTGACAAAAAATTTTGGGACATTTCAAAAAGAAAAGATGACAAAGTTTTAAGGTACGGAGGGAGTATCAAATATTGAGCAAACAATCAAAGTGACATTTTTATCAGTTATCACGAGTATTAAATATTTTGTAATTTCGAGTTCTAAATTAGGTACATGTATTATAAATTAATACATGTATTATAAATTACTACCTCCGTTCCCATTTTAACTTCCAAATGCTTTTGGCACAAAGTTTAAGATAGTGGATATTGTGTGGTTGAGAGTTGTGCAGAGGAGAGAAAAATGTGTAAGAAATGTTGTGAACCACAAATTCTTTATCAAAAAGGGAAAGTGGAAGTTTTAATTGGAACGGACGAAAAAGGAAAGTTGGAAGTTTATTTAGGAACGGAGGGAGTAATTTGATACATGGGTTACATTTTGTATTCTACTTTGAAAGTGTATGGAGTGACGAAAGATCGATTATAAACGTTATAATAAAACATGAATTTTAATATTTTATTCACTCGTGCGTTGCACGAGTATTAAATATTTTGTAATTTTGAGTTCTAAATTGGGTACATGTATTATAAATCAATCTGATATATGGGTTATATTTTGTATTCTACTTTGAGAGTGTATGCAATGCCGAAAGATCGATCATAAACATTATAATAAAACATGAATTTTAATATTTTATTCACTTGCATGGGATACGGCAAAGCGTTTACAATTTTTTGAACACTTCCTTATACACTACATTAAGTGTAGAATTGCTAGGCTCGCCCTTATCATCACATATCACGAATTTTAATCATGATGGATTTGTAACCATAGATACTGCCACATACAATTGATCATGCGTAAAGACCGCGCGACGCAAGAAGATGTCTACTCTTTCAAGCGACTGACCTTGACTCTTGTTGACCGTCATCGTGTAACTAACCACCAATGGTAATTGTCTACGCTGAAACATGAATGTCAATCTAACACCCGATGGTGTAAGTGTTAGCCTTGGAATATAGACCTTACCATCATTTGTTTCGGTCAATATTTGAGCCTCAATAATATTATCTCCATGCCGGGTCACAATAAGTCGAGTACCATTGCATAACCCTGAAGAGAAATTTATATTCCTCATGAGCATGACAGGAACACCTACCTTTAACCTTATTTCATGTGCCGGAACTCCAGAACAACGTATTCCATTAAGGATTTCAAGTGAATGGATCTCGTCAAGCAATTTGATTTCTGAATCAAAAGAGGATGCCAAATCACTGCTTAGATAGATCTTCTCCTCGGAAGTATTCAAACTTAACATGTAATTATTTATCATATCTACATCCTCTATTGTTGGAGCAAGAATGGCTCTCGAAGTCAAATAGGAAGGATTGGTTCCATTTTCCAAGATATCAGGGTATGTACAACTCACAATAGATTCTATAGGATTAGATATGAAAGGAGCGAGAAAAGTCTGAGGTATTTCAATCATTGATTCACCGTCTTCATCATCGCCTACAACACCATCTCCAATTTGCAAAATCCAATCCGCAAAACTCTTCAAAACAACAGAATTGCCACCTATAAGTCTCATGTTCTTTGTAAGTTTAAGTACCTTACAAAATTGCCACGAGTAGGAAGAGTTCGGAGATGCATGTACAATATCTTGTCAATTGCCTTTCAGAATAACTGGTAATATTTGTCTAAAGTCACCGCCAAATACAACTGTTTTCCCTCCAAAAGGTTTAGTAGCATCACAAGTGACAGTGAATCGAATGGTGTCCCTCATAGTGAGATCAAGAGCTTCAAAGCAATACTTATTTGTCATTGGAGCCTCATCCTAATTAATTAAGCCTGTCATTTGAATTAACTTGGCCAATTCACTACCATGCTTGATGTTGCATGTTGAGTCTTCTACCGTTGTTAATGGAATAGCAAATCTAGAGTGTGTTGTACGCCCACCTGGAAGGAGAAGTGATGCAAGGGCACTGGATGCCACATTCAATAATATACCTCCACGAGATCTTATAGTTGTCGACAGAGTTCTCCACAAATATGTTTTTCCAGTACCTCCGTGACCATATACAAAATAGATACCACCGTGATTTCCACTAACAGAAGCCATGAGTATGTCATACACATTGTGTTGTTCTTCAGTCATGTCTTGCAATAACTTGGAATGCTCCTCAGCTAAAGCATCTACATCATATCTCATATCTTCATGTATTAGGTTGTGTTGAAGATAATCAATTTGAGAAACCAAAGAAAAAGCATGTTTGCATAATTACGTAGAGACTTCCCTTTTTGTTGGAGAAGTTTATCCACTTCTAGAAGAGCATAATTTTTAATTTCAGCTTCACTTATTTCCAACTCTTCAATGGAATTAAATGATTTAGAAAGTCTTTGTAGTAGCATGTTAAAAATAAGGACAAAAGAATACCAGTAGTTATGCTTACCTTGATCGTTGAGGTTCCTTCTTATATTATATAGTACATCATCTGATAAATCCTCCTATCATTGCTCCCACACCGCTTATGGCTTTGAAAGTTCATCTGATGTCAGCAAGGTAAAAAATAACTCACGGAGACTGTGCGCAAATCCCCAATGACTTACTTGTTTAATGCAACCAATATGATCTTTGTCATCTTGAAGCAAACCTCTTGCATAGCAAGCATCCTTGAATGTGGCATGGATAGTACCATTAATGGTCTTCAATTCCTCAAAACTGGTAGGCCCTCTTACAACATTGAGAAGCATTCTAAGGTAGTACTTCTCGCCTATGCCTGGACGAAAAAAATAGAGTCTCCCAACGACAAATCTCTTCTTTCTCGGTACCCACGTTTTTGAAGTTTTTTCCACGTGAACTTAATTGGAAACTCAGAATATGTCAATAACTTGGCCTCGGGGTACATTTCATTTGCCTTCATCCAGGTTGTGAATTTGGTTGAGTGAATAGTAACACGATTCAACACTGCGGCCGTGGATTCCCTTTCATTATAGAACACATTATGTTCTCCTGGGAGATGGAAGCTCAGTCGCCCAACTGCAATATCCCTATAATGAATAGGGAACCCAAAAATCATCCAAGCAGCCTCACATGTTGAGGCATACCGAGAATCATAATACATCTTAATCTCATCAACTATTTGAGATTTATTACTATCGGCATTCTCAAAGAATGCAACTGTTATCCGATCATAGCCCTTGTTTATGTATTTGAAGAGATACTTTATTGAACGTGTCCGATTACACCATTCAACATTGATGTGGGCACCATACTTCAGTAATAACATACGGTTATGCGGAATAACGAATCTATTGTCAAGAAGAATGTCGCCTTTTGCCACAGTTCTACCATTCTATCTTCTTCTATAGAGTGGAAAACCGCTTTTATCGATGGTCGTTTGTCGTACAAACTTCTTCGGGAAGTATTTAGTGCAACGATTCCCAACCATGCATGATGATTTTTTGTTCAACAATCCACACGGGCCATGTATCATTAGCTCCTTCACCATGGTGTAATATTCTGGGTCACATTTCTCATCCGGGATCTCAGCTGAGATTATCTTATCGATATATGTGGCCAAGACATATCGTTCTTTTTCATAAACCCACAATACTATATGTGCATGTAGCAGTCCTCGCTTCTGAAACTCCACTGTGTAAATGACTTTGACATGCCAAAAATACGATTTTAAAAGATTAGTCACAATAGTAAACGTAATCTGTTATGATTCGTAGATTAAAATATGAATTAAAAATAAAAAAATATGTAATCTAAATAATACCTGCTTTCACTTTTCCAAATAACTTATTTTGTTTTAAATCCTTGATGAGTTGGTTGAGCTTAATTTTGAATATCCTACATAGGATATCAGGTCGATCATCCGGGTTCAACCCTCTTTCCCTGACGTAGCGTACATCGCAAGATACCGATCTACTGCTGGGTTTAACCATGGTTAATCTTTTTGTCTGCGGTCTAGGCAAAAAGATTTTTTAGATGAATGTCTTTGAAATGAGTGTGCATATTCGATGCAAGATGGCAGATACATAGCCTATGATGCGCATAAGGCTCCTCCCAAGTACTGCCCACCTCATTCATTGCCCTGACAATACCTCCATGCCAATCAGAAATGACACACAACTCTCTATTAGTGACAAACTGCCTAATACATGCCATTAACCATGGCCAACTATCCCCATTCTCATATTCAACAACTGCAAAGGCCACTGGAAATATTTGGTTGTTCGCATCACAACCCATGGCCACGAGCAATGTACCCTTGTACTTTCCATACAAGTGTGTGCCATTAATAGTAAGTACGGGTCGACAATGCTTAAAACCATGTATTTATGCCTTGAATGCCCAAAAAACTCTTTGAAACTGCATATAACCTGTGGGAGTATTAGGGGGTGGGTACCACTGCACAATAGTTCCAGGATTTGAATGTTGGAGCGCTGTCATGAAACGGGGCAATTCAGAATATGACTTTTCCCAACCGCCAAATATTTCTGCTATGGCCTTTTGCTTCCCCATCCATGTTCTCCGGTATGATACCGTATACCCATACTTTTCCGTCAGCATCTCAATGATAGTATGCACTTTAAGAGAAGGATCAGTGTGAACAATGTCAATCACATCTTTAGAGATGAAATCTGAAGTCAAAGCCACGTGATCGGTAATGTCGGTGTTCCCAACACACGTAGCAGAATGAGGTTCAGGATAACGCACAATTGTGAAGGTGTCAAGGTTGCCTTTGTTCTTTGTGGCGCGTATTCTCCAGAGGCAATTACATCCTTTTGCATTGTGCCACCCATTTGTGTTTATCGAACTCTATCACCCGAAAAAATTGGTTCCGTTTGATAGAATACAAGCTCACCATATTGATGACTTGTTCTTTGTTGTCAAACTGTTGACCCACCTCAAACTCACCTTCGGGAGTAAACCTTTTCTCACCTGATCCACTCAGCCACACATCAGTAAAACCTTCAGGGAGATCATACATTCTAGTAAAGTGGGTAGACGGGGCAGTTTTCCGTGACCGTATCACCATCATCTTCATCAGATTCTGTCATGTCTTCACCATTGATGTTGTCGTCAGCATCATCATCACTTCCCTGCTCATCCACAAATGATGCACCGTTGTGAAAATACCTACCATCTTCTTGTATAACCATGTCCAGTACAAGAGCATTTGAGGAGTTCCCTACATTCACACCTGCATTGACATAATGCCTAGATACAACAGCATTTGATGTTGATGGAGTACCATAAGCGTCACATATGGATTCCTCAATGTATATCTCCAGCATCGACATGTCCTCCATCTGAACTATGCCCCACATATTTGTTATAGCTAGCTCATCAATGAGGGGCATAAGCATGTACTTCCCCCCGTTCATGGGAAATTTCATTTTCAAACGCAAAGAACGGCTAGGATGAATCATTGTAGCTGCATGTGTTTTTTGAAGGATCTCGAGCATGTAAGCACCACGAGAAACCATGATAAATGTGGTTGTACCACCTTCATGACATATTTGCCCAGCATCCTCATAATAGTTCCCTCCCCAATGACACACGATTGGGAAGCTTGAGAAATCCATATTCTAATAACAATTCAAATATATCCAAAAGTCAAAATTCACAAACAACTCACATTTCAATATGAAAATACCCAAATTTTGCTAGCTACATTCAAATCTACCAAAATCTAAAAATTCACATTTCAACATTTCATACATATCCACATTTCACAACAACTCAATTCACAATCAATTCACAATCTAAAAATTCGAAAATTTTAACATTCAAAACCCTAAGTTCAAAATGAGATGAAATGGAGTTTGATTTACCTACAAGAAAGAAGAAAGAGTGTTGAAGATGAAGATGGAGGTTTGCCGGAGTGGGGTAGCTGGAGATGGAGGTTCGTCAGAGTTCCAAATCGCTCGATCGTCGTTCGTCCTTCGTCGCTGCGGCTTGGGGGATTTTGGGGATTAGGTTTAATTTACGCAATGTTCTGTTCTGGCTGGTCGAAGTTTTTACTTAAAGGTAAGTCGCCAACGGTTGGGCGACTTACCCCGACCATGGTTAACCCAGCAGTATATTGGTAAATACTTTTAACCCAACCCTATTTTCGTAATTAGTTAATTAATTAACATTAATTTGAAAAAAACTCCATAAATGGCCATCAATGAAACTAATTTAAAATGTCGTATATTTGTAAATAATCAAATTTTATTGTAACAAAAAATTTGATTATTTATAACTATATGTAACATTTTAAATTAGAATTCTCACCAAAATATGAGCCCGGACCCGAACCGCTACATGACCGGGCCGGGTGGCCCGAACCGTGACCTAACCGACAAACCGGGCCGGTCCGGGCCCGCACAGTAGCGGGCCGGTCCGGTTCCGGGCCGGTTGGCTCGGCCCGAGTCCACTCCTAGGCTAAAGTAGAGGTTCTCACAATCATCCTAAGCTTATATATGTGTGTATTAGTAGTTTATTAGTACTACTTTAAAGTTTAAAATAAACTATTGTTCATCCATTTGAGTCATGCGATCACACAAGAAAGAGTGAAGGACAAAAAAAGAAGCATGATATGATACATATTACGTGTAATATATGGTACTATGGTAGAACAGGTTTGTGTAGATGTACAGGACTACAAGAACAAAAAGCACATTTGTTTTTGACTTACATACGAAAAGAACAAGAAGTCAAGAAGTCCAGATATAAAGCTATTTCTGCTATGCTATGCCGCTATGGGCAAAAGAATTTTGTGTTTGTTTTGAAGATATCAAACCCTGCTGAGCTGAACAGTTTCAGGCATTCTGCTGAAGATATCAGGTTCGTTCTACTGAATCTGAGCAATTTCAAGTAAAATTTTATGCAGCGATTGCGGCTTTGAGAAGAATGGGCAATGGTCGCTTCCTTTGATCTTGAAGACCCCTTCTGGAGGGTTTTCCCTGACCATCTTTTCTTGGACATCTGGTGAAAGGGCATGATCGTCCAATGTTTGGACATAGAATCTCCTACCACTTCCGTAGTTTTGGGGAGTTAAAGACAGCTTCTCCATCATTGGACCAAGAGGAATTGGTCTCATCGAAACCTTTGCTAAAGCAATATCCTGAAACCACAAAGCCGCACACACAGATGACACAGTTCATTTAAATAAGGCCATATATGGGCATGGATTTTGTGTTATCCCTCGAATTTTCAGTAGGCAAACGCCTTCCTTTTGGGATCGCCATGATGTTTGTCTATAAGAAACATTTTCTAAAGATGTGTGATGAAACTAGAAAAGATAGTTCACAGTGTGGAGATAAGTCATCAAAGAGACGGAAAGGGAGAACCCAATATGTTAGTTTGGACACGTTCGCCGTCAGTAGGTAGGGTTAGAGGACTACTGAAATGTGGAAAATATGTATCATACAATAAAGTCCAAGTGGGAACATTTTAACATGTCTATACTACCAAATGTGGGAATAGTCATGGGGTTCATGTTGATCCCACAGGGATTCAATAGGACCTTATGACTTTATTTCTAAATTTAGTGGAGTGTGCCCACTAGGGATGGCAATTTCACCTGCACCTGTTTGGTATGTGTGAATTTTTATTTTTATTCAATCTTTTGGGATTAAGACTTGGATGTTGTTGTATTTGGAGATGGCTTGATTAGCATATTATTCATTAGCAATAATGTGTTCTATTTTTGTTTTTAAATAGTAAGCTTTAGACTTTTTACAGAATAATTTGGATGAACATAACTTGTTTTAATTTCACCCATTATTCACCCGATCCAACCGAATAAATCATGGATGGTGGGTGCAATGTATGTGGAATTGTGGATGAAATATTTAACAGGCCATGGATGGATCTTTGAGGGTGGACCCAAACCCGACCCATTGCCATCCCTAGCACCCACATGGACTCCTTTTAGAAGTACTCATGGAAACAAGGTGCTGGACGATATAAATACGACTAAAAATAATTCCTCTGTCCATTATGTAAAATACACACAAACTTTTTGGTTTGTCTTATTAATATGAAGACTTTCAAAATTTCAACTCTACTAACTTTTTATTTTCCACTATTGTTTTACTTGTATCTTTCTTTTCACCACTTCTTGTACCCATACTACTTTTCTTTTGGATGTTACAATTCTAAAACAATAACAATGGTCTATTTTTCTTAAAACCCGTGTCAAACCCAAATGCATCTTACATGTAAGAATATAGGTAGTAATATACTAAGGAGAAAGTAAAAAATATGTAACTTTCACCAAAGAGTTGTTACATAAAAAACAAAACAAGTTTAAACAGAGCAAGGACATCTATAATAAATCAGAAGAAACTTTAATTGCTCTGTTTGATGATATAAATGCAGTGAAGTGATAACTCATCCCCTACCGACTCCTCCATTTAAAACCAAGATGAAAAAAATTAGATATAAATGTATTCCGCATTTCAAATGGTTGATGTGAACCGATTTTTAAGTTTGCTAGTAAAAGACTGAAGTACCTTTGCTGGAGATTGATTGAAATATAACCCATGCATCTGCTCCTTTTCAAACATGAAGCCAGTAGCCGGCTTTTCTTTACCATTGCCATGGATTAAAAACTTTGATTCCTGCATGAAAAGTTCTGCAGAACCAAGCTGCAAAAGATATTTTCTACAAGGCTGTGGATATTGAACTGGTGAAGGAAATTACCTAGAGCACAAACAGGTTCTAGTAAAAGGACCCTCTACTATAAAACAACAAATGTGTCCTTATAATGCTTTGACTTTTGAGTTTTGACATTACAGATCAAGGGATGAGTGCAGTGACTTCAATCAGCTGAGGGTGGCATGTTAAGGGTTTAGCACTTCAGCTTAGAGCCAGATTGATTTTCAAGGAAACACATCAATGAATGTACTAAAGTTAAACAATGCTCTCTGTCTTATTTCATCTGGTATAAATTTTTTTTGTAAATTTTCCTTTTGAACTGATGAAGCAACTATTCTTTGTTCCTAAATTCCCCAAAATCTTTTGGGACTAAGGCTTGGATGTTGTTGTTTGTTGTTGTCTTTTTGGATAAATATAACTTATTATGCCATACTTAAATATTTACCTTTTATTCACAAACACTGAATTAATTAATATTGAAAATTTTAAACCATAAACAGGCGAGTCAGCCTCTTAAACCAAAAGAGGCACCTAAGTTGGGAAGGAAGGAAAATGCCACAAGTGCAAACGAACTTACAAAAAAACATACAAACAAGTGATGTGGCTATTCTAATCACCTTTGATGTAAAAGTGATGTGATGTGTTAAACAATATAATGCTGCCACATACCTCTTTTGTAAGAGTTTTAGTAAGAGAGTATGGACTTGTAGCATAACTCAGGAAGGAAATAGAAAGCAGGAATACCAGTAAAGGCATTCCATTAATACACAGAGCAATCATTTATTATCATGAATCCTAGATAAATGAAGTAACTTAAGTGCACCTCTGCAGCAAACACATCAAAAGGTCTCTGTCCATCAGACACCATTGTACCACATATGAAGACTGCTTTAGCAATCTTGTGTGGAAAATGCTCCAAGGCGAAGGAAACACAAGCCCCTCCAGCACTATGACCAACCAAAACCACCTGAGACAAGATGTAGCATGACATACTTATTCACAATGCTATAATAGTTATTTTACAATTGTGCAAAAGGTAATGTCTGTCAGAACTCAGAACATAGTACGATATAAATAAAAAGGTCCTTGCCTTTTCATCCTCTGGTAAGCTTTTAAGATAATCAAGCAATGGCTTTGAGTAGTCTTCCAGTGTTGCAACACTGTTTGTATCAGTCAGATCAATGCCAGATCCGGTAAGGTCAAAACCAATAGGGAGCAAACCTGTTTCCTCCAATAACGCAATAGTTTTATACCAACACCAAGCTCCAAAACCTTCTCCGTGTATCAAAACAACCCTCTTTGTTTTGATGCTCTCCAAGAATTCCAAGGACTATACCAAATTAAACTGATTAGATAAGTGAAAACACGACAACTTTCTTAGCAGTTGCACAAAAGATGAGTATCAATAAGCTTAAATTGAGTGCACAAAAAAGTAAGGCTAACAGATGTATCTATTATGTTTCTAGTATTTATCTATCTATGCTTATACTTCAACTTCAGTTGGAGTTCTATTGTCATTCATGAAATCTAAGTAAACTTAAAAATATATACTTATCAGAAATGCAAGACATATTATGAAGGAAGCCTTCCACAGCCATTGATTTTCATATTAACCCGAATAAGTTACATCCAGTGTGCATTAAATGTTGGAGAACACAAATATCAAGAGACAGATTCTATTAAGTGAGGAATTGAGTGGATGAGAAGCACATTAGGCAAGACAACAGTCACAAAACTATCATTGAATAAAACAGGAGACACTAAAAAATCTATGAAGAGATATAACCATTCAATTTCTTCATAATTCACTGCTCTATAGAGGACAAATATTTTGTGGGGAACAAACAATGTGTACATCTATATAGGTATATGTAGGAAAGCTATTCAAGTTGATATGGGCAATTAGGCTACTAAAAAACCTACAAGGAAATAGAGCTCAATACAAGCATGTTGAAAGGGAAAATATGTACATTGTTTAAACATATCCACTAAAACCTAATAATTGCTAAGAGGATCTGGACCAATTCAGAGATATTAAAACCCTTTCAAAAGTTACCAAAGATGGCTAGAATCCCAAAAAGGAAAGAAAATAAAAAAGAAAAATAGTACATAAGTAGTTGTTGCCAAGAGATCTATATTTTAAACATTTAGCGTAAAGCATTCTGATTTTTCTTTTTCACAAAAAGAAAGTGAGAGGAAAGATCACTTGTTTCTTTCCTGATTTCTGGTTCTGTTTATAACAACTTTGAATAGGGGCTGTACTGAATCCTTACTTGTCAAAATAAAAAGAGCATCGTCCTGCTTTTCCACTTTTCACTTTTTCCACCCTTACTTATTTACCTATATAGGAGGCTCAGACAGAAAAATGGAGTAAATAGCATTTTAAGTTACCTGCTTGGCGGGGGCAGGAAGGGAATCGGACAGTTCGTTGCGGCGGCGAGAGCTGGTGGACCCAATCCGGCGGGACATAGAAGGGTCGAATCTCTGTGACAGCTGCTGATGCTGCTGAATTGCCATAGACAAGGCTTGCCTGTGGAGCAACTCCTCCTCCATCAGCGACCTCCGCTTCGATCTATCCACCCTCTTGCTCCGCGACCCGACTGCGCTGTTGCTCCGCCCATTCTCCCTGGAGTCCTTCTTAGTCATGCAAATGAATCGGTTGCCCATTTTCCCAACCCCAATCTAAAAAAAAATCCAGATTCCAGTTTCTTCTGGGCGGCGGGGCAGGAGTTGCAGCTTAAAGCGAGGCCCTTTTCTTTGATTGAAAAAAATACTACGCAGGATATATCATCCACAAAGACTATCATAAATCAACTGGCCATACCACCAACACCTAAACAAGACGATGCTTAGCGATTTCTACTTTGACTCTCTTTCTATCTCTAAACAAGTCTAAAGGTTCTTAATTTCCATTTTCAACCAATCTGTAGTGCGGGTGTGGGTTTCCGTGAAATCTGACCACGTTCTTGAGCCGTTGAGGTTGGTCAAAGAAAGATGAAATTTTGACATTTCTTTTCTTTGTTTGGTTAGTTCTAAATTTATGTCCAGCTAAAGCATTTATATCAGTCAATGGCTTTATTGGTGCATTCCACACTCCACAGATTTGCTTAAACAGATTTTTCTGTTCATCAGTGTTAATACAGAGTATCTTTTTATCTTACTTGTGGTCTGATTAGCCGCTAATATGTGTCCTACACGGCTCCCCCAAAACTAACTTTATAGTACAGTATTGTAAAATACTCCTTTGGAAGAATGCGTATACGTTTTCTACGTATTAAATTAGGAAATTATTATTATCCCACGATATATATAGGAAAGTTTTCAGGTCCGAACGTTCAGACCTGAGGCGTCGTCCGAACACCGCCGTTCGGGGCGGTTCCCGGTAGAATTTTTCGGTAAAATTTTTATGGTATGTTCTTCATCAAATCTAGTTTATCCACAAAAACAAAATTCAATCGGGAAGACCGTCAAATTTTTTTTGGAAATTAACTGCGCAAAATTATACATAGAAAAACGCAAAATTCCACCGGCGTCTCAGGTCCAAACGTTTGGACCTGAGAATTTTCCTATATGTGTATACACATACATATATATATATATATATATATATATATATATATATATATATATATATATATATATATATATGGTGCGGTTCCGGTGAGAACACTTCTTAATGTGAGAAATGAGAACGCTCCAAAACGATGCACTTTATCCTTCACAAAATTGCACATTTATAGTTAAAGTAATGCAAAATTCTAATGTGCACATTTACGTTTAAAATTTGCACAGACGAAATGCACATTTTCAAATTTTTTATAAGCACGTTTCTGTTTTACATGATGCACACCGCTCAAATCCAACGCTCCAGAATCATTCTCATTTTTTCCTAAGATGGTATTCTCATTTCCAGAAAATATCCCTCATACCTTACCCCTTCGTTGCCTCACACACAAGTTTTTTCGCCGCCTTCATCCAGATCCCTTTTGCCCAGAGCTGTCTAATGAATTTGGAGGTTCCGTTCCAAACGTAAAATCGAGGCCCCATATTAATATAAAAATGTAAAAACAATCTCAATTTAAATACTTATATTGAAATCAGTTGAATACGCATCAAATAATTTAATAAAAAATTTTAAAGATCACTTAATACTTGATTTAAAGCAACAAACTCATCACTCAATCAATTTGAGTAAAGCAGGAGTAAAAGGACGTATAAAAACTTTATTTTACTGATTAGTAATAATATATATTATTACTATGTAATACTACTAATTTTTAAAAAATTGGGGTCCCATAAATCGGGAGACCCTGTTCTGTAGAACATGTTGAACATGCTAAAAACCGGCTCTGCTTTTTCCGCATCGAGCTTCTGCTCCCTTGACGTTGTCGGTTATTACTAGCCCCTCTTCTCCCTCTCTTGGTCGCCGCGCCGCTGCCGCTCGCCATCCCCACCGCTCTTCACCTTCTTCTCTTTCTTTAGTTGGCGATTAGGATGGCATGCATCTCCCTATCAATGCTGCAACAATAAATGTCTACGAAGATGACGAGCTATGACAGTGTTGGGTACCGACTGATAGAATAAATTACTATTTAAATGTAACATTATTTGTTACATATAGTTACATGCTTACAACACTTAATGTAATTTCTATCATGTATCTGGCCGTAGTCATACCCATATATGTAACTCACTTTAGTATGTAAACTTTATCCCATGCATAATTATAGGGAGGTTACAACCTCCTCTGGTTATCCAGTATGCTATGCATGTGTACGTACACTTGAATATATAGAGCTAGACTCTACTCGATTAAATATAATACGGAGTACATTTAATCCTAATTTTTTATGGTATCAGAGCCTTCAATCATTTACGATAGAAACTTCCTAGCTATGCCTTCTTCTTCCTCCACAACTTTCATGTTTCCAACTAGTGATTCTTTCTCTAAACTCATCTCACTAAATGCCTCTTCTCAAATTCCCATTAAATTATCCAAAGAAGGTAGTAACTACTCCTCTTGAAACCCCAAATTACAAGTTTTGGAGCAAAAATTCCCGCCCATTTTAAAGGTATAATTGGAAACCACTTTGCCGAAAAGAAAATCGCACGTATTGTTATTAAAGTTGTAATATTTAGAAATAAATATATTTGTTTATTTCAAAGATATTAAAATTGTGATATCAACGAGTGAATGACTATTAAATTGGAAAGAAATGTATTAATCACATGTGCCACATATGGTAAAATGAAAGATAGTCATAATTACCAATGTTGTATATCTATGCGGTGATGATTTTTCCATCAATAACTATGAATAATTCCTACCAATTTTACAGCAATGAAATTAGTAGTTATTTGGAAGCATAGTATGTATGTATGGAATTTAGCACGTATCATATATACACACCTTATTAGTGTATAAAAGTAGAACAAATAATTGGATATAAATAAGTTTTCCGATATTTCACAAGTGGGTTTGGTGCATTAAACCCAACAAAACAATCATTATTATACGGCCTTAACATTAGCTAATAATAATAATAACAGTAATAATAATATTACTAATAAGAGTAAAAATAATTTTAATTTTAATAACAACATACAACATATACCGTCCTGGCTTAAGTTTTTCATTGGAAAATGACTAGATTATTTAGACAATAATATTGTTAGGTATAAAATACTGTGATTTTATAGGTGTATTATTTTTAAAATTTGACAATTAAGTTCTTATTTACTAAGTATTTTCTAAAATAAAAACGACAATATTTAGTAGAGACGTTCAAAAAAGTCAAGTGAAAGGTAAAGACCTGAAACACATTGATTTTTTAATCACAAATTTTATAATCTTAAGTGACTTCACGGGCCACTTTTGAAAGGTAAAGACATGTTATCAAAAATATGTTTTTCCAAATTTTATCAGCTTCTAATTCAAATTTTAATAATGTTTACATAAATATCCACTGTATTTTTTATTCTAGGTTCAATAATTTGAAGTGACTGTATGCTTACTTCATTTCTATCAGCTTTATTTTAACTTAATGCTTACAACTACAATGAAATTAATATTTATAATAATTAATTTATTTTATAAAAGTATTACATTCAAGTCAATGTATATTTCATCCCTTTTTAGAACTGAAATTAAACTATAGATCATTGTTTATTTTTTGTTACCACTCAATGCATTCTACACTTCAGTCTAATACTTTCACGTAAAAGTTGATATTAAAACAGAGCTCCTTTGAAACCAATTTCTTAATTAGCCTGATTTGGTTTCTTTCAGCTTTGAAAATTTAATTTTTATCTGCAATCAACACAACAACAAAAACGGGATTGATATGAATTTTTGGCAGGGATATGTCAAATTCATGTCAAAAAACACTTTGGCACGAGCTATTTGGCATATCGGTCAATCTGTGCCAAATTCATTACAATCCCGTAATTTCTGTGTGGTGCAAATGTCAATATATTACTCCGTACAATTAAGAAAGTTAGTGTGATGAATCTAGAACAAAAAAGCGCGGAAAGCTTTTATTTTTTTTTATTTTTTTTGGGCAAAGCATTCTAACATACTACGTATTATAGTGTCTGTTCTGTTAGACCAACATCCTTGAACTGGGATGTGATTCGAACATGTGACATCTTCATTGGAAGTTTCACAGTGATGTCATCAGACCACAACGTACTTGGCGCGCAAAAAACTTTTATCTATCAAACTTTTGAAGTAAATATTACAACAACTATCAATGGAAGTAGTTTTTAATGAGGCTTTCCCTAACATATTATCAATAAACAAAGTCGTGAACAAAAAGCGTGACTTTGTAACTATTAGTAGTCACTACGATGTAAACTTTGAAGATAACGATAGTCACTAGATGTTATTAAGATACATTTTTGTCCATCACTCTTTGGGGAATAATATTAATGTAATTTTCTCTTTTAATACTTGAAAACTTATATTTTACTATGAAATTAGATCTAGCATTTCATTTTAAGTATCTCTTGAACTCGTGCCTCATTATTGAAAGTAATTAAATTGATTGGGGATCATATTATGGTAGTGAGAAACATTGATCAATCTTCTGGGGTATGTAATGCGACTTGCCTTATATTTTTAGAAAATATTGGGCAAAAAGTTATTTCCCCAAGGTTATCTTTGGGCCTGTCAGATAGTAAAAGTTTTCTCAATTTTCAATGTATAGTAGATCACTCCTGAGTCATCGTTTCATTTGTCATGATGGTAAACAAAAGTCATGAACAATTTTTATCTAAAATGGACATATATCACACAAAATATGTTTTCTACGCAGACCTAAAGTAACTTTCCATGTCCAAGGTCACCTCAAGAAGAAAATAGAAAATTCCAATTTGCAATATAATGATGAGAGTTGTAAGCAATGGCCACTAATGATGTAATCTATAAAGAAATTTTACAAAACTTGTGATCATTCTTATGCACGTACCACTAAAAAAAGATTGTCCTGTTTTGCAAAACACAGGGATGATCAACAAAATAAACACTGCACATTGTACTATCATGACCTTTTTATTGTCACATACAATTTATTCTTACAACATGTGTTTCTGTTAATTTTACTAACAATTCTTCATATGACCTACTAATTCGTTTTGCCTAAACTAACATTATAACCAAAATTATAACATTATACGATATTATTTGTTCTTCTATATATATAAAATATAATTTTAAATAACCTTAGGAGTACTATTTTGGTACATCGCCTATTTTGGTATAATAAAAAAGTATAAACATATACTCCCTCCGTCCCGTTGGAATGTTCCCGCTTTCCTTTTTTGGATGTCCCATTGGAAAGTTCCCATTTCCCTAAATGGAAAGTTATCCTACATCAAAACAGGGTCAAACAGTGCAAAACAGTGTCAAACAATGTCGAAACAGTGTCAAAACAGTAAAATTTACCCCATGGTAAGTTTATTTCCTTAATATGTGTGTAGGTCAAACCGGGAACATTTCAACGGGACGGAGGGAGTATAGTATAGAAGGTACACCTTTCGGGACCCAAAATACCATGTATGTGTAAAGGGGATGATCACCCACCTAAAGGGGGCCACCCCACAAAAATATCATACCAAGAGGGGATTATATTAAGACAATAAGGTATGGTAGACATGGAATTGATTAAGGGGGACAAGGGAGAACATCCTTGGGGACTCTCACA